AATTGGGCCTCCAAGTTGGGCCTAGTTTGTTATAAAAAAAAAAAAAAAAAAAATTTTTGGGCCAAATTTTGAGGCCCCTTCCAGAATTGGGCCTGAGGCGACGGCCTCACTTGCCTCGCCTCAGGGCCGGGCCTGCTTTGTGGTGTACGCAGACGTGTGCTTCAGGGAATTCGGTGACAGGGTTTTGTACTGGACAACCATTAATGAAGCCAATATATTTGCCCTGGGAGGTTACGACGAAGGAATGATTGCCCCAGGATGCTGTTCACCATCATTGTGAACTAATTGTTGGAAGGGTAACTCCTCAATTGAGCCATATATCGTGGTACATAATATCTTGCTGGCACATTCAGCTGCTGCAAAACTGTACAAGAAGAAATACAAGGTTATTTTTTGTCCTTTTTTTCCATTGTAGAATTTTTATAATTGATTATACTTTCTTTAATGATATAACATGTTTTAATGCAGGCCACTCAAAATGGTTTCCTGGGATTGAACGTGTATACTGTATGGTTTATTCCTTATACAAATTCAACAGAAGATGTGATTGCAGCTCAAAGAGCTAAGGACTTCTATGTTGGTTGGTAAGTTGCATAACTTGGCTAGGTAGTTACTAAGTTTACCTACTATTATTCCTATATAAGGAAAACTTTACAGTTGTTCCCCGGTGCTCTGAGTAGAAAGTTGATTGTAACCTTCTATTACAGTTGCATAATTAGTCCTCAATAGCAGAATCATCTTTTGGCTAGTGCTGGAAATTTAAAATGACACGTGTTTCCATGAGGACTGCATGACGATTTAATGAATAATTCTAACAGTTCGTCACTGGGGACTATTTGTGCAACAGTAATGGAAAATTGGGGAAAAGTGGTCCGTTTTAAAGGTAGAGCGCTTTAGGTTGGGGAATATTGTGCATTTTTTATTTCCCATATATATGAAGATCCTGTGGTTTGACAAGTAGCTAACTTTCTCATATGTGTAGTGTAGACTTGGTAGGTTTACCCATGTCTAATATTTGCTGCAGGTTAGTTGATCCCGTTATCTATGGAGACTATCCTGACATAATAAAGAAAAATGTCGGGAAGAGACTTCCAGCCTTTACCGCATATGAGTCGAAGCAAATCAAGGGATCAGCTGACTTTAAAGGAGTCAACAACTACACAACAGTACACATCAAGGACAACCCAGCACCCTCAAAATGAATAACAGGGATTTTTATGCTGATATGGCAGTAGAGCTTATATGTATGACTACCGTTTTTCACTAACTCAAATTGAATAGTCTCTACTTCATTGTTCAGTTTCACTTGTTCTTCTAGTTTATTTTCCTGAATGTTTGAGTTCAGCTTCAGTTAGCTATCTATCATTCAGATAATGCTGTTCCTCCAGTGAAAAGTTCACTTTGCAACTGGAATAATCTGAGATATGGTAATACACCAAAGAACTTACCTTCTTTTTTCGATTTCTGCAGATAATCTGGGCAGTGAACTGACGGATGAGGTGAAATCTTAATATAATTTCATGGCTTTGGTTTGCACAGTATGCTATCATGCCTTGGGGTCTTTATGGAGTTCTGGAGTATCTAAAACAAGTTTACGACAATCTACCCATTTATGTCCATGAAAATTGTATCTCTCTCTGTTCTCACTTGGTCGCCCACACTCATTTATACGAAAATGGTACATTATCAAATTAGCAGACCGCTTTTAATCTCACCGCTCCTCATGATCGCAGTAATAAAGCATTGAACTCTTAAGGACAGAATGCATTATAGAAACTTTCATGTTATCCTATATAGTTCACCTTATCTAGCAAGCCATTGAAATGTATAAAAGTAGAGTAATCTTAGCTTAAATTGGTTTGGCAGGCCAGATGACACGACGCAATGGAACACTTTATGACAAGTCACGAGTAGAATATTTGCATGCTTACATTGGGGCCATGCTTGATGCTATAAGGTATGCGTATGTAATTTCAACTGAGGTCAAAATTTTATTTTCATGCTTAAATTTTTATTATCATCTTGAAATGGATGAAGGAATGGATCGAACACGAGGGGATATTTCGCATGGACGTTCTTAGATTGTCTTGAGTTGTTGGATGGCTACGGGACTTCCTTCGGCCTTCACTACGTCGATTTGGACGACAAGAACCTAACGAGATATCCGAAGCTTCTGCACACTGGTACCCAAATTTTTTGAGAGGGAAGAGCACAAGCTCAAATGCAATTACTGAAGTTGGGGATAACACATTTTTTCCTCGGACAGGTTAAGTTCTCAGTTTTATTTCATCTACTCGAGGTCAGGCCTGATAGCTCCTGCACATGTACTTGTATCACCCTCAAAAGTGTTGTGACAAAAAATGAAATGAATAATCACATCATATGGAAGACTGTATTATATGGAAACAAATTGGTTGATTGCTATGGTAGAGGAATCTTTCTGTCGAAACTTCGAAAAGGATGAATGATAAATGTATTGTACTTTTTTGTATGATAAATGGAAGAATTGATTCCACATTGAAGAATCATATATTCACTGACCAAACCATTCGTTGATCTTTTAAAGAACTAATTCATCGGACGATAATAAAATAGAGTTTCATTCTACATGTCTATACTGGTGAGAGTGAAATTTATAGTAAAAGGAAACTCCATCGACTTCAAAAATCGTGAGGTTCTTATTTGACTAATTCACATACAAGTCGAATAGCAGTTATAAATTATCTAGAGCATGAAGATGAATAAGTACACAAACTAGTTCAGTTTATCAAGTTCTACATCCAGGAGGAGGAGAACAAAGAGACAATAATATTAACAGCAACAAAATATTTGATGGAGGAAATCAAGGAATCATTGAAGATCAAGATGATTGATGATTATGATGATATACTTAATTTTAGGAATTGTTATTTATCTTTACATATTTAGTTTATTGAGTTGTACTATAAATTGATGGTTTCTCAATGAATAAAATAACAACTCCAATTTCTATCATTCTCCATATTTTCTTCTTGGTATCAGAGCAGGTTTCAAGCTTCCGCTTCCGGCGAGCGGTCTAGTGCCGCTCGTCCGGCCAACTTTTTTTTTTTTT